GGCAAATTGTAAACACAGCCACATGCATGTGACCCCATGATTCATTAGAGAGGCAGCTTCCAAGCAGGAATCCAACTTTAATTTTGCTAAGCAAATCCACTGTCCAAGAGGTAGCCGACCTGAGATGCTCCAGATCCCCTCCACCCCAGTTGAGACCTGATGTAGATTCCTCCTGCAATGCACTAACTTTGGGGTAGACATGGCAGCAAATCATGGGACAGGATATTGTGGATTTGGGTCTTTGCAAATTTGATGGATTGATTGATTGATTGCTTCACTTAACTCTGGTTCTTAATTCATCTTGTGCTGGCCTTTCCAAACAGATGAACACTGGATTCTGGTTCTTCTGAAGCTTCTCAATTGGATGATGGAATAACTGTTAACACACACAAGGAGGCAGAGAAAGAGAGTGTGATTATCCACTGCTGTGTGGTGGCAGGGCTCTCTGGTCACCTTCATCACACACACACTCTCTAAGATATTACTTCCATGGTTGGTTTTCAGGGATTTCAGGTTGAAAGAATGTGTCCAGGGATTTAGAGAGTTTGAATTTTGTCTTAGGTTTCTAAACCCTGAGAGAGCTGCACACTGATGGGGGTGAGATTTACTTAGTCTTAGCTAAGTTCCAGAAATTACATTTGCGAGTTGTAGTGCAGTCAGAGATTTTTTTATAAAAAAAAACATTAGAAGCATGGTAATATTCTACAATTGAAATGGTTGGTGACAAAGCATGAATGGGCTGAGAAATTAAAAATGCTCACTGTGAATTGGAGGCAGTGTTGATTGCAGGAAGGTGTGCAACCGAAGGAAAAAAGCCTTTGTCATAGCTCCACATTAGAAAATGTTTGCCCCATAATCTAGATCAGGTACATTGTGTCCATGCCCACCATGATCACTGATGGATACATGGTATCCAGAACCCTATTTATATTGACCTGATTCAACATGAGATTAAGCAATGAACTCATGGGCATAAGTGCAGCTCAGCCCCAATGTCCATCAATCTATTCATCTGTCCACCCATCCCCTAAACCTGGCAATATTTTTTTTTAATTAAAAAAGAAGAAGAAGTAATACCAGGCATGACATCCATTCATGTGAACCAAAAGGATGTGTGCCAACACTGCACAAGAGTCCAATCATGCACTCAATAACAAAGACATGGATGACATGAAACTCTACATACTCCCTTCCTCCTTCCTCCTCCCTCCTGCGCTCTGCGTGTAAAATTACCCAAGTGGCCAAAGTAGATGAGCAAATACCACCATGTGCAGCTCCCATGGTATACATGCAAAAGGAGGTTAAAAAGCGAGAGGGAGAGAGAGAGAGAGAGAGTGTGTGAGTGAGTGAGTGAGCAAGTGGGAGGAATCTTTCAAGGCTTGTGGATTTTGCATCATATTGGCATCAGTGAATCTTCAATGTACACTTAAAAACTGTAGTATAATGGCAGGGTTGAAATTGGCTAAGGTTCTGTGGCATGTTCAACCTCCGGCAGCACTGCAGAACAGGTGCTCAGGTAGAGGGGGCTCATCACCAAGGCTGTACTAAACTCTTTGCTTTTGCTTTTGGCATGAAGGGTTGACAATTTGCAGTTGGGACTGATACAAGGGGAGGGGTACAAATGACAAACAGTCTGCAACCATTTGCCCCTTTGTGCTTCCATTCCACACTGAGGGGAGGTCAGCCCTCTCAGCCCTCCTCAGTGAAGGGGGCTGCCAGGCCTACTCCTACTGCTTCTACTACTTCTACTACTAATACTCATCTCATAGTGAGCAGGTTTGAGGTGAACCTGAAGCCAGGGAAAAGAGGGAGTATCACATCTTGTCATTTTCATGCATAATCAAAGTGTGAATTTTAAGACTAAAAAGAAATAATAATAATAATAATAATAATAGTAATTTTAATAATTTTTCATTTTAAAAAAGATATTTAATTTTAGATATTTAGTTAGTATGGAGTGGGAGAGATTGACCCCATGTGGATGAAAGGAGAGTGAGCCTAGTAGAGAAGCTAATTGGGTGGTCCCAATTGGGTTATGGATCACTGTGTGTTGCATCTTCCCAGCTGCCTTCTTGAATTGTCCTTGCAGTGGCAGTCCATTTAAGGAGCCACTTGGGAGGGACAAAGGAAAGGGCTGCCTTTTTGTTTGATTCTCATGGGTATACAATTGGACCATGTTGTTATTCTTTCTTTTTATTTTGAATAGATTTTATTACATCAACATAGCTCAATTTGTATGGTCCATGCAAGTGACTAGGTTAGAGATGGTTTTGGTGATAAGTTTGGGTGAGTGTAATAGGATGGGAGCTGGAGATCATGAGCTAGAGTGGGAGAAGCGTAGTCTTGCCTCTGATTTGATTCCATTGTGCTTGGTTGATTGCTATCAAATGATAACCAGTGTCAGCAGTCTCATTGAAGCCGAAACAGAGTGCTAACTAAACTGTAACTTCACCATCCCATATGACAAACTCAGCCTCAGAATCTACATGAAATTGGAAAACATTGACCGGCTCTACACTTCTTTCGAGAATACTTAAACGGATTCTCTATCCCTCTCTTTATAGTAGCTTCTTGTGCGAACTAGCCTCGTTAATGGCACTAGCTTCTTCAAAACACCTCTAGCACTTTTTGACCACTCATCACAAACTAACTGAAGGTAATACTAATAAATTGACCAGCTTACAGCTACTTCGTTTGAAGCTTGAGACAACATGGAGTAGGGTTTTTTGAGAAGGTTCTTCTCAAGAGCTATAGACCAGTACAACGCCCTGTTGTGGCAAGTAGGGCTCGATCCAGACGTTCCGTTGCGACGCGATTTTGAGAACACAGCATCGACAAATGCACTGTACAAGCCGAGCTTTCAATGAGGTAAAGGACAGTAGTTTAGCTCACGTACAGATCACAAATCACTGAGTCCAATGAAGTGGGATCCCATCTGTAGTACATCCTTCGTTCAAGTAATCAGTTTTGCTGTGAGTGCCTCTGAGATTTCGACGTGAAAATTTTAGCACAGAAGCAACACGCTCACTACCATCAGACATTACTTAGTGCCACGAATTCAGCACGATTTCAGCACTTCAGAAAACTATTTTACTCCTCACGCTCTGGAACAGCTCTCGATGTACAGACAACCGTGATGAACTAGACTACGTACGCAAAGTTGTGAAGCTTTGACGGAGATTTAACTGCAAGCATATCAGAACTCAACCTCAAGGAAAACATTGAAAGCGGAGATCAAAACAGGCGGAGATCCTCCTGTATACGTTGAGAGGTAACTCTTCGGTGGCACAACATTCTTTGCAAAATCCACCTGAGAAAATTGGAAACAGTGTATTTGTTGTACTCCTTGGAGATTTGCTTTCACCATCCAAAGCTTGACAGCTAGTCAGTGGTCTCGTGTACGGTCGAAAGCATAGATGTTGGGGTTGCACTGCAGATGGATATCAATTTCTTCAGTCTCCTTCACCCTAAACATTCTTCTAGGCATAGTGTGCCGTTCAACGGTTTTACTCATTCCTACTCAGGGGATAGGTTGCAACAAGTTAAAAATTTCCACAGTGATGGAGTGAAGAGAAGGAAATGCATAACCTGCGTAAGAGTGCGATCTTTCAGTCGAAGCTCTTGAGTCAAAAGGGATCGAGTTCCAACACGATACCGCAGCTCTCACAGAAATTCACCCATTTCTCGTGCAATCGGAATGATTACAATTGGATCTGTGGAAATCGATCAACCTGGAACAATTGGTCTCAGTCAATTCATTACCAATGGCATACATAAATTATTTTGACGGCTTGAGGATTCACAATTGAGGACATTAATTTTTTTGCACGTGGATAGCACGGAGAGTCAAAATGCTACAATTCGCAATCAGTTCCTTCAGGATTTGCACTTTCATAGTTGATGAAACCGACGACCTTGGCTTTCCCACTTCTAAGAATCTCTTTTCCATGGCCTTCTAAGTCTCTGGATGTCTTTCAATCTGCTCGGGAAAATGAACTGAATGCAAATCCACTGAAAAAAGGCAACAGGTGACGCAGCGACTGTGAATCTCGAATTCCAAAGTAAAAGTGAATTCGCTTTGAGTTCACCAAGGAATACTTGTGAGAATCTTACCCAACACACCGCCGAGGCTTCGGGAGACTATTTGCCAGTTTTTTGGGTCAGTAAAAATATCCTTTCCCCCGATACTTCATGAGGTTTAGCGTTCTTCTCGATTGTCAAGAGTTTTGAGGATGAAAAAAATTAAACCATGTGACACTGGCGAAGATGGAATGAGTGCCGTAGCCAAGACCTAGATCTATCATGCTCCGCGCGAAAGCACATAGTATTATGGTATCATTGATTGTAGTTCTATACGCAGGTGGAAACGATTATCTAGTCGAGAGAGGTTCTGGTTCCTCGCAAAATTTTCCCTACTTTCCCAATGCTCACGGCTGGGCCATCGTGGCCATTGTGCACCAAGTTCACGCATGTGGCTCCTCCTGGAAGCGTCCAGTCCACCACCCTCAGGAAGCATACCTAGCTGCCCCAACCTCTGAAAAAATGCCCTAATTTTGCTCACTCAAAAGCTTCCTCTATCTCGTAGGAATTAGAAATATACACTTGATCAATTCCTCTCTTCTCTCACATTCTCGTCACCTCACCAAAAGCCACAAATAGGCTCATCGACGTCCGTCAGTTGGCAATTCAAGCTGCTGATTCCATTAGCCTCCGTGTAGAGTGTATCACGGGGCAAAAGTGGAGGTTCATGAAAACAAAAAGATGCACAGAATTATCTTCATATTGACATATGTTTGATAACCGCGATAGTTCTCGAATAACTAACACAAATCGTCCCAGCACTCGCTACTAATCCACCAATCGGCCCAGACTTTCACACAGCTGGTGGAGGTAGACATCCTTAAAAGTGGGCAATCTGCTGAGGTCTGCAATCTTCACGCACTCGTAACTGCCGTGAGCAATCGAACATACCAACTGCAAGCCACTTAAGGGCAACAAGATTTGAAACAAGTAAATGGAGCTACCCGTACGTATATACTATTACATTGCAAATTTCCCACTTTCAAAGAGATGGTCAAAAACATCAATTCCTCTCCAGTCTCGTCCATGTTAACCAGCAAAACAGAATACTGCGTTTCTGGCCATGTCAAAGATGCACTAAATGCTACCCAAACTTTAGCCAGATGTAGATCGATTTGCAAATCAATCATCTCTGAACAGAAACTATGACATAAGCTTGATCAAACTTTGCTTAAATTCGTGCACACAACTTCCCGATTTAATTAACTAAGCATAAACACTGAGGTATTTGAAGGGCCACAACTTTGCTTGAGCCCTGATAGAACGCGTCCAGCAGACGTCACGGTGGAAAGGCAAGAAGCGAAAAATAAAATAAAGGGGGGGGGGATGAAGATTGGGGATAGCAAAAGAAACAGAGAAAAAAATCGCCCTCCAGGACGGGGCCTGTGTATATCCTACCATCTACAACCATTTCATGAATTAGGTCATTATCAACCGACTGCCCATCTCGTGCGCCCTTTTCTATTCTCAATCCTCAGTTCCCCCCTCCAGAGCTCCCCAAATGCCCATGATGCTATCCTAGAAATCCATATCGCACCCTTCTACCCTGCCACACGCAGCTACATAGAAAAAAGGGGTAATGTCAAATTTTACGAGCAGGGGAACATATAGGTCGTCACCTTCCTGAGGAAAGGCATCGGTTCCAAGAGAGATGAGGATGTTTGCTCTGTTCGATCGATTGCTATGATTCATTTCTTCAGGTCCGACCGTCTAGGGTTCAGGTGCTGGTGGAGGAGCACGGAACAGAGGAGGGAGGGCGTTGAAGATGGTGTTGGCATCCACTCCGGTTTTCGTCGCCGTCGAGAGGGATGCTAGTGCCCCTACAAGTGCGGCATTAGCAACTAAAGTCGGCTCCGTTTGCTCGTAGTTCGTGCGCCGGTCTTTATACTTATCAAACTTGTCTGGCCCACCGACCATAGCCCCTTCTAGAATGTGGGGGTTTGGGGAGTTTGCGTCCCTGTACTTGTGACCTTGGGTGCAGCCAACCCTTCCTGCAGATTTTGGAATAGACGCACCTCTGTGGTGCACCTGCTTGGGATATTTCTTGCCGTAGCCTACCACGTAACTCATGTTCATGGGATTGTGTCCAAGGACGTAATTAATCTGTACAATGCCCCCACAAATGATCAGCACAATGTGACAGTCCATCGTGACTTAAGAAATAACAATAGAATTCACCGAAAGAAACGAACATTCCACTGACGACAGATAGCGTCTGACAATATGATGAGAGCCTCACCTGTGACCTTGCCCAGTTATTCAAGGTTTCTGCGGGGTAGAAGACGCCCTTGCATTTCCACCCAGGAATGGCAGCAGCCTTCATGAATTCAGCATACAGTGACGCTATCATGGAATTAGCAACTGTATACTGCAGTTGCTGGCCCTTCCCGTATAGGAACATTGTCAAACCCCCTGGGCACATCAACCAGCGTACATCAGGACTGAAGCTTCGGTAACAACCAATTAGTATCTATCAATTACTTGTACGAGTCAGGCGATGAGGACCGTCTACATGCGGTCATTTTAAATACTAGGTTACTCCAAGACAACCAAAAACGTCGAACAACAAACCTTTCGTAACGTTGAATTTCTTGTACTGAGGAAGGTAGTTGCACATAATGGTTTCAGTTTGATTATGGTACTCTCGGAGAAGCTGTTCGTATGGATAACCTGGGCTTTTCATTATCAAAAGCCTGGACAAAAGCACCTGCGTCATGAACAGAAAAACTTCAGTTTACTTGCAGTGCTGCATCAAGAGCTAATTGATACCTGCGTTACCTCAACTCAAAAATTGTTGATTTCCTTCGAAGCCTAGGACTACAATAAATTACAAACACTATGATAACAGTAAATACTCCGCACTACCAATATTGCTGAAAAACAAGTGCCCTGACCTTTCAAAACAGTCCGACAGCTCATGAACATACCTGGGCACCGGCGAGCTTGTTGTCCCAGTTGAACGTGCCGTAGAATGGACCGCCACCGTTCGCATTTGCATGCTTAGCAAGTGATGGGTTTGTTATCAACTGAAGATACGAGTTGTTCCCTGTGGCATAATACATCCAAGCTCCACCCCAAATGTACTCATCCCAGAAACTGGTAGAATTATAGAACCCTACTTCTCCCTCAGGAATGTTAGCAACGAAGCGCTGCCTTTTGCCCTTGTCTCTCGCAAAAGTCCAGATGTTGATTGCCCCGGTCCTCAGCTTGCGGGAGTACTGTGGGGAGTCTTTGAATACAATGGAGGCTGCTGCAAGGGCAGCTGCCATCTCTCCAGCCAGGTCTGGACCAGAGTTAACTGCATACGCTGGTCGAGGGTAGTCCATGTCCTCAGGCTTTTCCCAGCAGGTGTGGTCATTTGGATCGGACGTGTTTGCATCGCCTACCTGCAAGGAATGGATCAAGATTCAGACAAGGGTACATAAATGTCATTGGTTCTCTCGACTTATAGTTCTTCAAGGGTATGTGACTGATGTCACCACACCATGATTGACAGAAGCTTCAATTCCACGGTTGACAACCTTGAAGCAATGGATCAGGTTGTAAGCAGATATATTATTAACACTGAAATGACAACCCAATTACATGGTAATTTTCTAATCAATGGCATCTAATAATTATCTACCCTGGTTGTTCATCGGCAGGATGATCAACCACGATGATAACAATCAGGGCATAATTTGAGTGGATGCATACCTGAGCAAACACATAGTCCACATTCGGTGAGGTGTAGTTGAAGGTCCTTAACATGTAGTCAGTACCCCATTTGATGATTTCCTTAACGTGGTTGAGCTCTCCAGCGGCTTGGAATTTTGCCTTGTACTCAATCACACTCCAACTCAAGAGAGTCATGGCAAAGGCACCTGGAAACCCAAACTTGATATTATCACCAGCGTCGTAGAAACCACCACTGAGATTTGTAGGATTTCCACCCACTGCATCCCGTCCATCCCGTAGCGCAGAAGTGCCTCTCCAGGAAATGTTGTTGGTTTTTGGCAATCTCCCAGCTGCAATTGATTCATCAGTGACAAAATCGTCAGAACTAGAGATCTTTCCCACTCCATTGTCAGATCTTCCGTTAGTTCTCACTCGCTTGTCACACATTGTTCAAGATTTCAAGTGAAACCTTGACAATCAAGACAGCTTTCACCTAGATAATGGAATTCATGTGGCAGGAGGTATTACTTGTTTCACAAACAAGACGCTTATGAAATATCTCAGCCTACATGTGACTATTTTCGAGGACTATGCCTCTCAGGACAAGCAGTCCTAGGGTGTGGGACCATAACGTATTAGATCCTTCACGAAGAAGGATTAGCTAAAAACATAAGACGCCCATGCCCTGAGAACCCGAGTATACCACATGCAATGGCCATAAAATGACAATCGAGACGCTCGGTTCAAGTTTCTTAGATCCGAAAACACTGTCAGGACTCACGACTTTAAAATCATACAAGACCATAAATTGCGACGCGAGGTTGTTTCTGCGGATTAGGAATTCGCAAGAATAAAACTTTCTTGCGCAGAAGAAAGGCCAGCTGAACGAACTTCAAAACTGGACTACAACCGCGGTGGTATCCAGAAGTAAAGACCAGAAAGTTGAGCACGATGACTCCAGAAGGTCGTTGATGAGTAGAAGGGCATGCGAGAGTCCGCTCACATTTCTGAGCGTCGAAAAATTTTAGAGCCAGCTTCAAGGCAACGGTGTAGTTGTCCAGGGGTGGAGGGCGATGGTGCTTGCGAGGAGCCACTTTCCAGATGAGGATTGATAAACCCACAATGGCGCTGGCGGCGAAGATGGTACCGAAGATGATGAGGAACAACTTGCGGCTGCAGACCATACATCCCAGGTCAATCTCCTTCTTCTTCTTTTTGGTTTTGGGCTCCAGCAGCCAGCTCTGCTGCGTCTCCTCCAAGCTCTTTACCGAGGCCCGATCTACATCCAGGTTCCTGCTACGAGTATCATCTTCCGCCCCCGAATCCGTGGCCATTTCCATGGGCCCTCCCCATGTGTTATACATGACTTCAGCTTATACTCCTCGTCTCCCTACAACCAATTTCCAATCTCTCTTTCTCTAGGCTCCAGTAAAACCTTACAGCTAGTACAACAAACCAGATGCTTCACGTGAACAGTATCATTGTTCAAGAACTTGCGCTGGAGGAACCCCGCTCGTTTGTTGGCGCACACCTAAATACTCTTCCCTCCTGCAGCAGATGAACAATGATACATGTACCCAAGTGAGAAAAGACTTCCTCGACAGACCAAAGCCACACCACCATAGCCCATATTTCCACAATATCGCGTGCATCACTGCTACGAAATGCTATAGATATGCTAGCACACTAACGCCCAACACCACTTGTTCTTGCCTTGTACAAACATTTGAAACTTCGACAATCACATCTGGCTCCAACCTCTGAGCTGAATGCTCGAGAACTCTGCTAGCTTGAGTTCCCGCAAGACCTACAGGGTTCGTTTCCCGTTTATTTCCTCGGGGTTACAATAGCCACCTAACACTCGCAAGGCAAGGCAAAGTGAGACAGGGTAGAGAGAATCTGAGTAAGAGGAAGCCACATGCAAGTACCAAATGCAGGCGTGAGAGAGAAAACCCACCACAATCAGGTGGGCTATGGCGATGATAACACAACAGAGCTGGTGGTGAAGCAGCAGCAGACTGCGAGTTGTAGTGCCGCATGAGTGAGAGCGGCATAATGCAGGAGCTTCTGGGACCTACAGCCATGAATCAGCGACTGACACAGCCTGACAATTAAAGCTTCTGACGTCTCTCTCTCTCACTCTCCTCTCCAGTTACCTCACAGGATCCATCCTCCTCCTCCTCCTCCTCTACAGATCTCCTAAAAATCTCATAGTAAAAAACAGACCTGCAGGATCAGTGAAGAAGGAGAATACCTTTCTCACAACCAAAGGTCACCCTGGAAAACCACACTGTTCTCGCATTCTGGAAACTCATAAGCTTGTGGGTTTTTACTCTGTGGGTTTCAAGCCCAGGAATTTACGATGCAGAATTTCCCTCTGCCTTTGTTTCTGCATGCTTAAACCTGTTTCATAATGGAGCCTGATGTATGTAATAAGCAAGTAGGGCATGAGAGAGAGGGGGAAGAGGAGTCTGTTGCTGTGGCCCAGCATTGTGACAGCATTTCTGTACTCGAACCCCTTTGGAGCCTAAGGAAGTCTAGCCTAGACTCATCCATTATTGCAACGACTTCTGTGGGCTTGCTCAATGGGTGGGGTGAGCTAACAGCTGCCACTTGGTTACAAAAAAATCCTCATGTTTGGGTGCAGACGCAAAGGTTCATATTTTGCCCAAGGCCTTCAATTCCGCAACAACTAAAATCAATTGGAATCCGGTCCCGGGTTCTGCTTCCTAGCTCTGATGCGAAACAAGTAACTGTTGTTGCAGAGCAAACCCAGTAGCGAAGTTTAAGGTTTGTGTAGTGCAGCAAAGTGTATGATGAAGGACCAAGCTCAGTGCCTGAGTTGGTGCTGCCAAGAACCAGAAGCAGGGAGGGTGATCATAAGAAAAAAACAGTCCTGATCGTTGATTCCACACAGGGATGCAATAATGAAGTGGGCCTATTCTCATGGCAAGCTAGTACTACCGAAAATCAAAAAAAAAATACAATAAAAAGAACAAAGAAGAGAAAAAAGAAGAGAAAAGAAATTTCCACATGGTCGCTTCCTCGATCAAAGCACTTGTATGCAAACAATGCAACGGCCATTCATCTACTGGTTCATTCATCCACAACCTCCTTTGCTCACTCCCTCCCTCCCTCACTCACTCATTCATTCACTCATTCATTCACTCTTGCTCTTCTTCTTCTTCAACTCACTGCTAGGCCCCAGCTCGCCTGTGGCTGGCATATACAAGGACAGCCCTAAAGTGGTGAGAAAGCCTTGGATCTACTCCCACCTCACAGTTCTGGGCTGGTATGCCAATCATTCAGTTGTTTGAGGTTCATGTGGGGTTGCTCTTTCTCTCTCTTTCTTTCTCTTTCTCTCTATCTTTTTCCTTTGCTACTTGAAGAGAATTGTTCACACTTTTGCTCATCTTCCTCTTTTTCTTGCTCTCTATTGCACACTAACCCAACTGATACGCGCGCGCAATATCTTTTGTGTGCATTATGGGGGTGAAGAATTAACTTTCTTATTTGAGGGATGTGTCATCATTGTGGGGCCCCCTTCAATGCCTCCGTATTGCACCTTAAATAGCTTTTAAAAGAATGTTGGTGTGTCTTACATGATAATGTTTATTGGTTCTTCTTGTCCCCACATCATTCTTTTTTCTGAATTTCTGTTTGTACTCTTAAATTGTGTCTTCAGTTGATGTTGTTGTTTTAGGTGTGTAACAAATCAAACTTAAATATATTTAAATATATATATATATATATATAGTGATATTTTCTTTGTACAATAATCTGTTAAATTGAATGTAGCTACATAGAAAATAAGATTGAATACCACAAAAGAGTATTACGTAAAAAAATTCAAGAACTTTTTTGGTAATAAATATTTCTTAATTTCTACAAATTTGAAATTATTATATAATGTTAATGTAGTAAATATTTGGGTAATTGCATTTTCTCAAACCAGTTGTTGGTCAATTGACTATTAAGTATAAGTGATTTTACCCACCACTTGAAAATTTTGATATTTTAATATTTCAAAAATTATAGATAAATAAATAAATAAATTGGTAGTGCTTGTAGTAAACATATTTACGAATTTTTCCAACATTAATGTTCTTAATCTTAATATATATATATATATATATATATATATATATATTTTCAAATACTTAGGTTATCAATATTACATGTTAGAGTGTGAAAACCAACACAATGCATACAAACATGGCCATGGATACAATTATTAATCATTGACAATACAATTAATTCATAATTGAAAAGGCAACACTTGTATTTTTATCAAAAGTGGGTCAATTGAGGATTTAGATGAGTCAATTTGATATGAATAAATGGTTACAGATATCAATAAGCTCAAGTTATGATAATGTTTAGACAAGCCTCAATTGGATAATTTTTCAACAAATCATTCTTAAAAAAATAAACTTTCATTAAATGGAAAACAAAACAGAATTCATAATTGACTTAGTTTGAACCAGAATTTAAAAATTGATTAAAAATAACACTAAAAATAAATAAAAGAAAATTACAGTATTTCATTGAGGAAATAAAAATAAAAGATTTCCTATTAAGTTATTGACTAAAAAATACATACGTAAAAATATAAAATGTTTTCAAAGTTTTTATTGAAATCAAGAGCTATTGTGTCTGAAGATTGCATATATTTATATATATATATATAGGTTAAACCAATACTAAGTATTGTAGACTACTAATTACTATTCTTTGTTATTATTAATCTATATAGAAAGTAATGACACTTCACTATTAGTGTTTAAGATATCTTTCACGAACACACAAAATTTTAGTAAAAATAAAATTTTATTCATCAAGCTCTCAAATTATTCTAAGAAGTGTAACAAACGTGTCATACCTTTGCTCAAACAAAACAACAACAATATATCCACCAGTACATGTTCTTTTAACCAACTATTTCCATACTCTCAAATTAGAACCAAAATTAAATCATCTCCATACAAATCAACAAATGGAGTTCAATGTTATATCCATGCAACAAGTGGAAAACATGGGAAGTTGTTGGTTTCTTGTGTTAAGATTCAAACCATGAAAGTTTTCAGTTGCATTCTCAACAGTCCCTATGACCGGGACTACACACCACTACCACAATCCCGCGGTTATAGACACTATCCTCGGTCATACACTCAGGCGCGGTCTTTGGGGGTCCCGAATCCGTTATCCACAGGAGGGGGGCCAGTTTCTATGGGACTTCCTGGACTGAGCAATTTCTAGGTGCGGCAAATAGCGCCGCATCGTGGCCAATTTTGCAAGTTTGCACTGTGGAACTCAGAATTCGAGGGGAAGATTGCAGTGAATGTGTTGGAAAGCGAGAGTCGCATTTGAACTGCGTGCGAGAGGAAGAGCAGAAAGTGAAGGATTAGGTCTGTTTTTGCAGCTGCTTGAGCCTGGGCGATGGTGAGGAGTTTCTTAGGGGTGTCAATTCTGGCATTTCTGAGGTAAAATTGGGTACGTGGATGGTGGTCGAGGTGCTGAGTGTGGGGGGAGGGTCTTGAACACGTGCTCCTTGGTTTCAGTGTGCGTGGTGGGAGGTATGGTGTTGTTGACGATGCTGAGATAGTGATAAGGTTTTGTGACTTAAACCCCGAATTGTGAGAAGGGTCGTTAGCCATGGCTACTGGGGGGTGCGGCATGTCGGGGACACGGGCGACCACCATGAATTGCGCGGCTGGGTTTGGTGCTGAGAGGATCTTGCCTCTGAATTTCCGTCTGGTGAGAGTTGCCCAGGCGGTGTCTGGTGGCAGACTTTCGAGGGAAGTCTCGAGGGTGTCATTTGTGGGTGGGACTCGTCGAACACTTGATGTAAGCTCACTCAGCTGGTTTCCATGCATTTGTCTTTTCAGAAACGTATCAATCTACATAATCATCACTTTAACAAAATGATGATGGTGCCTTTAGTTTTCCGTCTGCACAATCGCGGCGTCCTATTGAGCTTAAATTATTAATGCAGAATGCGCCAGTAATATACAGGGTTCAGGGTTTAGGGTGTGGGATCCACTGGTTAGAGTGAATTTAGCCCCCAAGTTGGGTTTTAGGCTCACTTGAAGGATTTGAGAAACTTTGGGATGTCCCCGTTTCGGTTGGTCGCTAGTAGCTGCGCAGGACCTCATCGTAGCGAACATGGTTTCAGTATCCTTTCCTGCAATTTTCTATCTGGAAACTTCCTATGCTTTTCTATCTTGAGCATTTCTGATAAGGTCTCTAACTGACCGTGTGCTTGTGTTGTCATCGGGGACATCAGCGGAGCTGGGTTGTTTTAAATCTTCGAGCTACCCTTGATTTCAGAACAAGAACCAACTTGAATGTAGGTAACGTAACCCCACTTTCTCCTTTCCATGTTACTGAATTTCCTTTCATGATTTCTGTAACTTAAACGTTTCATTTGTCACCTTTCACGCACAGATAAACCGCCATTTCAAATAATCTTCTTTGGAAAAAGAGTGACTTTTCACTACCTTCTGTACGCTCTACTTTCTGAAATTATGGTCTGATTCCTTGTAGGTAGTGAATCCAGTTTTACCAAAGCTAATATTTTTAGCAGATGTTGTGGGTTCTTTCTAGATTCGCTACTGGATATTGATAATATTTTTGGAATGATTTCTGCTCCAGGGCTGAACCTCTTTTGGTATAATCCTCTTTTGGAATGCTTCCAACCAATGCCTCAAACATGTTGTCGTGCACTCGCTGTGCCCAGTGACATCGAAACTAGTCTGGAAAACAAAGGATCTACACCCCAGGACACTCCAGTCGAAAGGGTCGCGTCGAAGGAGAAGGAGTGGACAGGTCCGAACCAGTATCGGGAAGAACGACGCTTGAACCGAGCTATTGTCGAGGCTCCTGATGCTGAGTATGTATTGGCTACTATTATAGAAGCGCTTAATAAACCTCATTGGGGCAAACCTAGGAAGATACCATTGAGTCCTTTGAATTGCGCAACTGGGCTCCACCGGATTGCGAAGCGGATGGACGAGGCCTCCATGTGGAAGTCTGAGAAACTCACCTTCGCCAGAAGACAAGAAATGAAGGCTTTCCTTCGTGCTGCTGTGAAAGCATTTCCAGAATGCTCTGCCCAAGGATTAGCTAACATTGCCTGGGCGCTGTCAAAGATTGGAAGTAGTGCACTCTTTGAGGAAGAGATGGACCATCTAGCTGACGCTGCTCTTGACAAATTGTCAGAGTTTAATGCTCAAAACCTTGCCAATACTGCTGGCGCTTTTGCTTCCATGCTACACGCAGCACCAGCTCTCTTTGACGCCATTGCCCAGCGAGCTGTAGAGGTAGCAGGGTCTTTCAGACCTCTAGAGCTGGTTCAAATCTTGTGGGCGTTTGCATGCTTAAACCACCCCTTAGACCCTCTCTTTGACTCCCTGGATGTTCAACTTGTAGAGAACCCGGATGCTGCTGCTGCTACTTTCAGGGGATTCAGTCAACAACAACTTGCGAGCATGGCATGGTCTTGCGCAGTATTACAACAGCAGGAACGCCCATGGTTCATTTCTTTATGGAAATGTGTGAATAGTCGCGCAACCACATGGACTTCTGAGGCGGATAGGAAGCCGAAAGGCGTTCAGCACATGTGCCAATTATACCAAGCCAATCTAGCCTTGAAATTGGAATGTGCAGACCTAGCATTGACTACCGAAAAGGAACTGGAGATAATGCTTGAGGAAGCTTGGGAGAAGGAGAAGGCAGCGAACAAGCTCAGTTCAGGTGATCATAGAGAAGTGGATCGTCTGCTCGTAAGCACAACTGGACGCGCTTGGGTGTCAGAATACGAGGGAGCGCCATATTCTCTGGATTTGGCCCTAGTGGATGCGAGGGTGGCGATTGAGATTGATGGCCCCACTCATTTTTCTCGTAACACAGGTATCCTTTTAGGACACACAGTTTTGAAGCGACGGTTATTGCGTTCAGCTGGGTGGACGGTCTTCCCTATCCCTTTCCAAGAGGTATGAGATTGTTTTGTTGAGCTTTAATCGTACCTTGAACCAGCTTTGCCTTTCATCGATAATTGGAGATGCCAAAAATCGTATTTGGTGACAAGCTTACTGATTTCTATCGAGAGGTTGTGATTTAAGTTTATCTCTAATACTCTTTTATGGCCTTATCAGTGGGAGGAGTTAAGAGGTGAGCAGGAGCGGGCACTTTTTTTACGCACCCTCTTAGAGGGCTCTATTTAATCTCGTTTCAACTCTCATTTAACTTATATTTCTACAATTTATGCTTTATGGTTAGAAGTAGCCTGGTCGGTGACTTCATTCAGACCCGTCATCTCAATAGGAGCGCCTTTAGATGAGGATAAGGTTAATCATCGTCTCTGCAGTTTTAAATCAGCAGTTTCCATGATCTGAAAACATTTTTCTGGTATACTATCACACTTGGTTTTAGTTCACATCTCGTATAAGATCTGCTCTATCCACATGGCTGGGCAACGACCCATTCAAGACATCAATATTTCACCGATGAATACTTCTTACGTTTCAAGAAAAGAAAACGTGCTTGCTGCATTCTTGTTGATACGTGTCCATTTTTATGCTTGTGTCGGTGACAATGCACTATTCCTCTGTAGGCTGTAGGTGAAATGTGAAATAACAATTTATTTCTTGTAAGCAACATCCTCTCACAAGGTAAGCTCGGACGAAAGAAGCAGGTGTCTAAGTTAAATAGGAGATTGGGATTATTATTCTATTGTTGAAAACATATTAAAAATATTGGTGAAGCCTCTCTTGTCTCTTTTTCCCTTTCGTTTAAATTCTAAATGAAGAGGACTTGCGTTTCCTTGATGACAGAATCGTGTCGTCTCAATTTTGCGCATTTTAAAACCTTCCCAAAAACGACGACCTTCTCAGAATTGTTATCATCCTGTATATTTAGTTTTGGTTTCTATCAAATGAAACTATATGGTAAATAGTGTTGATGCAACTAATTTATGTTCCAATGCTGCCACAAATATGTGTAAAAGCAGAGACAACGTCAATTTCTAGTTCTACATCGAAGTTTTTGGGCCAAGTAATTTTCAATTATAATTATTGCAGGGTTTACTAACAATAGATACATCCAAGGCTACACCAATTATTACTTAAAAAACCAATTTTTGAGCTTGAAATACTCTTAACAACATTTAAAATGAATCTAAGAAAGTTCTTTTATGATGTACTTGAAGTAAGAAATCTAACTAGAAGAAAAGTCAATAATTCAAATTTTGTTGATCAAAGGTCTTATAAAGAATTTGAAGGTGGTCTACATCTAGGACCATCAAGTTTTTTACCAAGTTTTTTTTAAATATATTTAATATCTTTATTTTGTATTAAATATTTCAAAATATTAACTTCAATATAATTATCGTATAATTATAAGCAACATAAGTGTACATATATCCTAAATCTTTTCTTGTATAATAGTAATATTTATAATAGTGGTTCAATATTAGTTAAGTAATGTAAGCTTGTCAACTACTACCTTTAATTGATTTCATCATGGTGGATTTATATATACTTTTATAATTGACATGATTATAATATTAATATATATATATGTATATATATATTATAATCATTTAATTTATAAAATAATATAAATTACAAAGAAATTCTTTATAATTGATTACAATTTCAAATAATGTTGATTAAATTTATATATTGAAGTTTATAAAATAATGGAATCATAGACAAGATGGTAATGTCATAGTAATCATGTTAACTCATGCACTTCTTGTGTTATTTTGGTTATAAAATACATTCTTATTTATCAATATTTGATATTGAGAAAAAAATTCTAACAAAAAGAATAATAAACTATTAGCATTTTATTAAAAGGAAAAATATTTAATAGTCTTAGGAAAAATAAATAAATAAATAAAATTGAAGTAACAAAATGTTTATGATTGAGATTTTTATATTTTTGAATAAGATATTAGCTAACTTCTATTTTTGGATTTTAAAACCTATATTTATAAAAGAAAAGAAATTAAGTAGAACTTAAGATTAGAATTACAACTAATACCATCTCAAACAATGTTTCACTTGTGTACATCAATCTCTACATTAAGTCACATGCCAACTTATTTTCAACTTAATTAAACAATTATAACTACTTACACATATTGATATCAACATGAAAGACAAAAAGTAGCCAATTAACTTTGGAATAATAAGCATCTTAGATAAAAAGACATAATTAACTACTTTCTTACTAATATTTTTAGTATAAATATTTTAGTTTTTTTTTTTTTTTTTTTTTTTTTTTTTTTTTGTTAAAGTGCCTATTAAAAATATATTTGAAATAATAATACTATAAAAATAAAAAGTTGTTAATGGAATGCATAAACGACTATATAAAGACAATATAGCAAGTAATTTATTAGAATATCAATTATATATATATATATATAATATAGAATATGAATAGAAAATGATAGTGGTTCAAAAATTGAGTATATAGTTTCTCCATGTTGGACTATTCAAGGGATTAGAATTATTTTATTGTTACTGTTATTTTTGTTATTATTATAATATTTTACCTCAATTCTTTTTACAAAATATTCTAAAAAATGTTAAAAAAGTATAATGTAAACTGTAATAAACTCTCATTATCCAACATTATTGGCATATAAATAGCTAATGCAAAATATGCACTTCCTATTGTACATGTAGAATGTCTTTTATTGCAATTAAATGTTACAAAAATTAATATAAAAAAGTTAATCAATAATAATTATTAACTAAAATCCTATTCTCCTTAATTAAGATTGTATACAATTCAGAAATTAAAATCAAAATCAATAAATCAAAAGAAAAGAATGAAAAAGAAAAAAAGATTTGGACTCTATCCACAAAAATCTTAGTCTACAAACTCTGAGAATTCTACTAGGTCAATGTGAATGCGCTAGCAAAAGTAATCCACAAGCTTTTGAGTTTGAAAAAAATTGCGACTTCCTCCAAAAAAAAAAAAAAAAAAAAAAAGATTCTAGGGAGTGGCTATTTAGGTGATCAAATATATGTTCAAAATGTATAACTAATTTAAAATTTTGGTGGATTTTAAAATCTATTGCATGTAATTCATCCTCCCCCTCCCAAACCACAACACCTATGTTTCAATCTACTTGCAAAATAGCCAAAAAAAAAAAAAAAAAAAAAATGGAATATCATTAGTTATATAAACATTAGTTTTCCACATGTGGCCTCTGACTCCATGCAATTTGTAAAGAAACAAAATGACTTGTCTGTCTGTCTGTCTGAGGATGTATTTCCTGCCGCCTCCCAGTCAAGTCCCTTCATCATCGCCCCGTTTTTGTATTCTTCTTTCGTGCTTTCACCAGGTTTGGGCACCCATTGTTTTGTGTTTTGATTTTCGGGTTTTGCTGGGAGCTTGCGTTGCTGCAAGCAATTGCAGCCTGACCGTGTAGTTGTTGTTGTTGTTGTTGTTTCTTCGTCATGAGCAGCCCCTTACACCAGTGATAGTGAGTGGTCGTGCTCACAACTCTGCAGGTGCCCAATTGCCATGACTTGTGGACATCGTGGAAAGCTTTGCAGATAATGGGCGACTTCGTGAGCCATGAGGCAAAGTTCAGGGTTCTTGTAATTTGAAGAATGTTCGTGCTGTGATGTTGCATTCCACACTCCGCTGTTGTCTGTGCTCGGTGTTTCATCAACTCTAACCTTGCAGCAGATGGGTAGTTAGGGATTGAACCAGTTGTGTCCCGTGTAATTCACGATGATGTCTTCATCGCACAATGTAGATCGTCGGTGCACATGATGAAAATGAACAGAGAATCACGAGGAATTGTGTGACGCACCGTGATTTTGGGAAACAGTTGTTTGAACTTGGCACATCACAACGGTCGAGAGTGCAGCCGAGGTCCAGGGGTCACCTGTGGAAGTTGTGTGAGTGTTCTTAGACGAGATTGATCTATCGCACGTTGGAGAATCTCATTCGGGATATCCTTCAAGGCCTCAGAAGGAAAACTTCAGTGTTACTGCAAGCCCTTTTCTATGCAGATGTGGGTGATGCAAGTCTCACTGCATGAGTACATGAGGAGTTTTGAGAAGACCTTGTAGAACTGATCATGGTCTCTCCAGACCTACTGGACATGTGCCACAGCTTTGAGGGCTCCAGCTTATACCCATTCCGACGCGGACCTAACCGCATCGTTACTAGCTAAGTTTGTAGGACTCCATTGCGGTGTGATAATTGCTGAATTCGAGTTTCCTCTGACCAATCTCGGGATGGGGGTGATGGAAATTTAGAAGGTTCGCCGATCACCGACCTTGCTAGGGTTGCCGCAACAAAGTTTTGGTTGGAACATGTGAGATCTTTCATCACCTGATCTATCCGTGTTGTGTGAGAGCCGGATGCTTGGTATGTCACGTGAATGCGTCTCGCACGTGGTAATGTGTTTGCGATAATCTCTGCCAGTCGTGCAAAACCTGATCATGGTGCCACGAAATTGGTTTGCTGTGTTAGGTGTGATGGAAAGTTTGTCTCAAGGAAATCGTGTCGCCCAGTTTTATGTGAAGAAAAAGTGTTAGCATTGTTGAGTATTCGTGAAGCACTGAAACTGGATGTGGGAAGAAGAGGCGCTTCAAGGAATGGGCCAGGGAGATTGTACTGGTGTGGATGATTTGGGATGCCGAAACAAGACACTGGCATTGGATTTGAAAGGGGGAGCCATAGCACTCATCATGGGATACAGTGCTTTGGGAGTGGCGTTGCCATTAATCGGCCGTCGGACGCAATGGCTCAAACCCGATGGCAACCTATTTTTTGTTGCAAAATCTTTCGCAGCTGGAGTCATCCTTGCAACTGGGTTCGTGCATATGCTGCCAAGCGCAATGGAATCCTTGACAAGTCAATGTTTGCCACGGTTCCCGTGGCACAAGTTCCCCTTTCCTGGATTCATCGCCATGTTGGCGTCTCTGGTTACCTTGGTGATTGACTTTGTGGCCACCGAATTTTATGAGACGCAACATAATCATGGTGATCCAGACGCTTCCGCCAAAGGTGCATCAAACCCTGAACCTGCTGTCGACATGCCTGCCCATGCCCGTAATTTCTTTACTCGATATGGATTTTGAACCTTTCACTGGCACATAGAGTTCGTCGATCACGTGTTATTAGGATCTGATAAGGCAGTGTAGATTACAAATTTTTGATGACCATCTCGTTTCTGGTAAGTAGAGACAGCTTGCCCTCACAAAGCTTTCTTGATGTCTTTGTTTCAGAAATGTTGTATAAAACTTTTACAGCATGTGGTCGTGGAATCTATTCAGCAAAGCGCTCACCAAGTCGAATTTTTGGCAAAGCTCGTTCTAAATCTGCTTCTGGTAAGCCATGTTATTACTGCATTGCATTGAACAGCTTGGAGGAATGTATGTGATATCGTTGGAGCACTGAGAATGTCAGTTGAGTTAGGTGGTGTGGTTTACAAAGAAGCACGGTTTCCAGCGTATAAAACAGTCCTCTAATTGCAGCAGTTACGGATTGAAACTTCACGAATTTGTTGTACGCATATTGCTGATATGGTCGGCTCCAAATCCTCCTCAGTAGTATTGTTCTGTAACGTCAATCCTTGCTCTGAATCCATAGTGTGTTCTCTTTAAGAATTTATAAATGCGTTTGTGACGACGATGATGGTTGCAGAGAAAGATGTGTACAATGAAATTATTATTGCAGAGCAAGATTTGGTTCAATCGATTGAACAATCAAAAGAACCTCTTCCGGAAGGGGATAGGAAGGTGCACATAATAGGCATGCGCGAACATGCTGAGTCGCACCGCCACAGCCATGCCGAGGGCACGTGCAAGGATCAGACCGATGATAAGGTCCTCAAACATGTCGGTTATTCTCACAATGAGATAGGCGCTTCCACCAACGAAGTTCTGGAGCACGTCAGACATGTGGTCGTTGCTCAAGTAAGTCCTGAAGTCTTCTCCCTCCTATACTCTTAGCCCATATTAATCTACCTTCTTGTACTGCGTAATACTGTAAGCTATTACACTTAAAACTCTCAGAACTATTGCTGTGCACAACTTGTAATGACCCTGCATGAGGACTACCTTGAATAGAGTTTGATCGATGCTAACTGACTTGATTTGTTGGATTCGTTCAGGTGCTTGAGTTGGGCATTGTTGCACATTCGGTCATTATTGGGGTCACGCTTGGTGTGTCAGAAAGTCCTTGCACAATTAGACCCCTTCTTGCAGCCTTGAGCTTTCATCAGTTCTTTGAAGGATTTGCACTTGGTGGCTGTATCGCTCAGGTCCGACATCAGCTTCTATACGTTCAAACCAACATCTAATGGTTTTCAGTTTTTCCAATCGCCGGATGAACATTAAGTTGCGTTGAATAATTGGGTTAGGGACTGATCTTGCAATGCTTGCACAAACATTTCAGGCAGGATTCAGTTACAGCTCTGCAGTGATAATGGCGTGTTGTTTCGCTATCACCACCCCAGCGGGAATTGGGATCGGTATTGGCATTTCTTCGAGCTACAATGAGAAAAGCTCACGGTCCCTTATTGTGGAAGGCGTGTTCGACTCCATCTCCGCAGGGATTCTCGTGTACATGTCCCTGGTGGATCTCATTGCTGCGGATTTTCTTAGCAAACGCATGCGCTGCAATCGGAAGCTGCAGTTCTATTCCTACGCATCTTTGATCACTGGGTGCTTTGCTATGTCTGCGCTTGCAATTTGGACTTGACTTGCCAATCCTACTCTTTTGTAGAATAACTTACTAACTACAGGTTTTTGGGCACAGGCCAAAATCGTCTTTCAAGGTCTCTAATTTTTCTTCAGTTTCCTTCAATTGAGGTGTAGGTTGAAAAGTCAAAAATAGTGTTTTTAAGATCATTGTCGACGAGAGAGTTAGCACATAGAATACATTTCTTTTAACAGATGTGCTTACATGCATCTCCGAACATTATGAAGCCTCTGTTGCAGTTATCAGCACGTCTCAGTTTCTCATTCAGACAGTTTAAGACGTCATTCTAAAGAGGAATTGAATGCAGATTCCTCTGCCATGCCCAGCGCAGCAGTCTAGGTATTCAGCGTCACAGTTCAGTTACACTCCCTCTTTACTTTTCAACAGATCTTGTATGGTTATAATAATTTGCAATTTCAACTGTTAATTCTGTTCAATTATGTTATGTCTTTGCAGGTACTGGTAATTCTTCACCACTTACCTACTCACTCACTCGGCAGGGCGTCGCAGGTAGCAATTGAATTTGTGTCAAGGTTAATGTTCTTGGGGCCCTTTTCCCATTTCTGCCACTGGTTCTAGATGTTTTGCCTTTCATTCTTTTTGCCTCCAGTCAAGTTCAAATTGCAAGGTTGTATTTTGGGAAGAAATGTAGCACTTGTGTAGTAAGATTCAAAGGCTTGGGATTTTGTGGATAGAGTTCACAACTTCAAATTTTTCCTGTTTAAAAATCATTGGCCTTGCCAGTCGTTAGAAAATGAAAATAAAAATTAGACAACTGAAACAATGTGTTTAAATCTCCATTTCTACCCTTGTAATAGAATTGGTAATAATGCCTAAAAATCTGTATTCTTTATAATTTGTGTACGTTTTTTTGATATTTTTATTAAAATAGAAAATAATAAAGAAGTGATTATTCGTGATGTGAACTAAAATAAACTCCCACTAGTTGGAAGTCTATTCTAGTACACAATGATTTAATCATCTATTAATTCTATTTCTTTATGGTTGTCATTTAACCAGTGTTCAACCACTACTAGAACCCTCCAATTGTGATCTAAATAAATCTCTCTAGTAAATGATTTAGTCTAATTCACAACTATTAATTAACTTGTGGTTTGATTACATAGAAGTGTCCTTCCAACTCTTACTGTAAGATCTTAAATTATTCTAACTACAATTTCTCACTCACACATCCACAACAACAATACAACCAATACAAAACAATTCAAAATCCTCACACTTTGAAAGGAAATTGTTAATACAATTTTTATTTTATTTTTATCTAGTAATAAAAATCATCCAAGGTTGAAATTTCATCCATATATGATTTTTCATCCATGAGTAAGCATTCATCACCTTTAACATGTTTTCATCCCCAATATTCATCCAGTATATTGATCTACGTTCATCCAATGAGACTTGTTCATCCAAGCTAATGTGTCACCCAAAATTAACTTTTATACAATATGAATTGCATTCAATTACAATTGATTGCCCACACATAGGTTATCCTTTGGAATTCCCACATACTGGTGCTGGTCGTGGGGAAGAACCCTTTCCACACGTGCCTCAAGAGTGGAAGCACGAACTGCCAAAGAGGTTGTCAATCTGGAATTCAACAGCCCACGCATCGAGCTTCAGATGTACTGTGAGAAGTAGTTGATACACGTCTAGGAGCAGAGAAAGAGAATACAAAACTAGACTACATAAGACACAAACAAGGTAGAGAAGGATTTTGTTCTACCACCGTTGCATATACAACCTCAACACCTCCAAACGAGATGCGGAAGGTAGGAGGCTCTTCAAGACTCTCAGCAGTCAGGATTGACAGCTTCCTTTTTTTAGGATATGCACTCATATAAGCAAGACCTGAGCTTAGTGATAAATAAATCACATTAGTGTGATTAAGTCACAGGTGTACTTGGATCTGCCCTCCAAATCAATAATGCAACAATTTAAAGAAGGGGTTTGAAGTTGAGCAATACAACATTTTTTGCAGATTCGGTGAACCTCCACAATGGTTGAGAGTCGCGACGAGGTAGTCAAATTCTCAAAGGCAATCAAAAGGTGGACTTCAAAAGAAAAACACTTCGGATTTTGTCCTTCGCTGAAAAGCGAGGAGCCCAAGACGGCTTGCACATGTTGTCCACTTTAACCCTGACGAATGGTTCTACTGAAAAAAGAGGCTCGGGCGTTAACCCTCCAATTCACAGCATCTGTTCATGTCGATAGTACATATGCAAACTCCTTTATAACTTCCTAAGTATCCTCCACCCTTGCATAAACCCTTGTGAACCAGCACAACAACCTCTTCCGACCAACGAGTGAGCCATTCCAAAGCCGGTGTGGGCAAGACTTCGTGCAAAGTAGCCAACACACGGATACAAAACAAAAAATCTAATTCACGATTCCAATTGTGCACTTATCTCGGCTCGCGCGCCCAAACAATAACAGTAATTTGATGCGGAAGAATCCAGTCGGCTTGAATGGACCCGTTTGCAGTACACCGCAAGCATTCAATACTGGAAAATTGGAAACACATACAAAGCTGCAAGAGTGCGGCAAATCTAATAGATTGCACTAAAGATTGAGGACGGCTAGACCATGAACAAGACACTTTAAAGCAGAGCCAGCTTTAAACAGCATTCAGTTCTGCCGCCGATTGTTGACCAACTCCAGCAGTCGGCAGCACTATTTGGACATGGATTAAATCAAGGATGCAGAACCGCCGCCTTGATTTTACACTTGTGTGCTGCCCTCGCAGCTCAACAGACCAACACGGAGATTAACTCCGCCACAAGTTCTTGTCGACTGCATGAACACCACCAGTTGACAAGGGAAGGGAAAGAATGATCTCAACTCTACTAGGACAAGGAAGGAAGGGAATACAAAAAAAATCACTTCGTCAATGCAGCTTCTGAGTGCACCAAAACTACAAGCTCGACAACTTCGCGCTTCTCCACCCACATTACTGGTCGAAACCACTACGTCGCCTCAGCTCGTCAAGCCGCCAGCAGCCACAGAGCACCAACAGAACCAACCCCGATTCTACACCCACGCAAATTCACAAGATCGAGGGAACCTTGCACACAAGGTTGTAGAGCTCCAGGAACGAGCTCAACCCAGAGCTCGCGAGAATGGAATAGAGTACAAAGCGCCAACACCACGTCTGTTGACCGCTCAAGCTCCTTACCACCGATGGAAATCTTGATACTCACTACCAGTCATACTTTCCAACCGCAACAACGGAACAAAACACAGAGCCCGCAACTTAGTTCACAAAGCCGCCAGCGGAACCAAATCAGGAAAGAAAACTTGGAGCGCCGCTGCTACTCCGCCGCACAACACCTCCACCCAATGGACCGCGCCGGCGTAGACCACACAAAGGAAGAGGAGAGAAAACCTCCAGCCGCACTAGACCGTAGATCCCGGAGCTCAGAAAGCAGAACAGTACAACACAAAGAGAGAGAGAGAGATAGAGAGAGAGAGCGATTGAGGTCCAGGCCGGACCCCTTACAGCAGTCCTTGCGACGACGGCCGAGGGATCTAGCTGTGCCCGGCGTCGAGAACCGGCTGCTCAAGAACCGCCTCTCGATAACCAGATGACGAGACTCTGCTCGCCATCGCCACCCGCCTAGGACCCCCATACGAAGTCGGCCATATACACCCATGCCTTGTGTTGTATAATGTACATTGTATCTTGTTCATTGTACTTAGTATTGTATATCGTACACACAATACAATATCCCGTATAATACTCATGTCCATATTTGCATGGTATTCCCCTTTGTATAATGATAGAATCTTGACTAATTGAGATGATCCCAAAACACTAAAAAGATGTCACTTGGTGCCCCTAAGATGCCTTCTAAAATTGGAATTTCCTACTAAAATTCTTACACTAATTATATTTTATCTACTAATTCTATTTTTCTTTTATCTAGCATTCTCTTCACTCATCTTTGACTAACAATTGTCAAATGACACTCCTATTGCATTCTTTTGTCCTAAAACAATTTATAAGTCAATTTGATGACTCACATATGAATTTAATTATAAATAAAAAAAATCATAAATTTTATTCTTTAAAATTTTCATAGAATTTATGGACATATAAATATAATTATAAGTTGTTTAAAATATGATGTTTTAGAAATTTTTAGTCTTTAAATTTATATGAATAAAATTAAAATATAAAAAAAATTTATAATTGAATTATTGAAGTATTTATTAAAATATTATAGAAAACAAATAGATATAAAAAGAAAAAAGAATTAAATTATTTGCAAAGGTTTTGCAATATTTTAGTGTCACTTCCAAAATTTAATGAGATTTATAATTAAAACTAAAGAGTTCCATATTCATTTTAAAATTATTTTTTACAAATTTGAGGTTGAAAGAATCTTTTGAATATATTTTAAATTTAATTTATAATTATTAAACAACCTTTATAATTATCACTATTTTTAATGATTATTATCTTAAATTTTTATTTGAATACTTACCATAGGAATCAATAATCATAATCAATTAATATATATTTTTTTGTTTAATAGATTCATTTAATTCCATGATGTATGTTGTAATTTAATGCCTTCATCTAAATTTACAAAGTTTTATTTACTTTTTGATTTGTTAAATTTTTAACTATGTATATAGAATTTTATTTTTAAAAATATTGGAATTAATTGATTTTTTGAAGAAGATTATATAGATTTTTAAAAAAAGATTAATATATTTAAAAAAAGAAGATATATTAGAATTAATAGATTTTTTTGTTTAAATCATTAATAGATCTTAATGATAATATAATTAAATGCATCATATATAAATTAATTTTTTATGTCAGATTTTAGTAAAACATCTAAATTATTTAGTTTTTTTTTATTTGCATGAAATGATAATTAATTAGCTACCACTACTTGTGTTTATATACAAACAATATTAACAAATAACAAATTTTCTTGACACCCATTTGTTCCACCTTTTAAAGATTTTGATCTTTAACTTGTCTTATACTTTCTAGATGCAAATAGAATTTTTTCCATACTAATAAATTTTCAATCTTTTTGAGGCATTTTTTGGTGTCAAAAAAATAAAATTATGATAAGAGATTATAAAATTATGAAAATATAGATCTATTTTTTCATCTATTATTCAATTATTCAACATTATAATTTTTTGTTATTACACTAGCATAAAGAATCAATGGAATCTTCTTTGGACTTATTAGAAACTTCAAATTTTAATTCAATCATGCCATTGGTTAATACTTTAATGTAGAATCATAAAATTTGTTAAAAAACATGTGCTCTTAACTATAGTAAGTTAGTATCTTAACTACAATATTATCAAAGCTAATATATAGAATCTTCTTTATTTTATATTAAGAATACTTAATTTATTACTATTTAGTTCTTTTGGATTATTTATTTCAAATACAAATTCACTTGTATAAAATGAAATAATATTTATATACTTTATAATTTTAGAGATAGATAAAATTACTTTTTATATGATAGAAAATACATGGTAACAATAATAGTTATGTTAAACAAAAAGCTGTGATGTAATTTCAAGCAAAATGTATTACTATATCAGATCTATGAAAATACTACTTAAAACATACAAAAAAAAAAACTTAATTGTCAATACAAAAAATATTTATAATATTTATATTTTAAAATTAAATTAATCTTTTTTAAAAAAATATTGAAATATTTTTTTTATATATGAAATGTTTATAAGTTAATGCAACATTTTTTTAATAAATACTAAAAAAATAAAATATTTATTTATTAAAACTTATTAATAAGAATTTCATAGTTTTTATTTGATGAATCACTTTATACATTATAAAATCATCACTTGAATTACTTTATATACTATCTTCAAGATGCCATATAAGAAGCTACTCATTTTTAAGCTAATGTGATTACTCTTAGTAAAACATTAGCAATTCTATTCTCTATATCAACTTATATATTGCTTATTATAACTTATATTTACATATTGTAAGTCAAATAAATATATTTATCTAATACTTTAACTTATTTAAGTATACTTTTTATAATTAAATGTGATATTTTTGAGGTCATGAATCACAAACAATAAAAATGTCTATACACTCTTATGTCATTCAAAAAGAATAGATAATCACTCAAAAATAGTATAATATTAAAACTAGAATGGCTATTATTTAAAATAAGAAGACTAGAGACTCTTGAAACAAAAGTAAGTACAAAAAAGGCATAGACAAGAACAAAGAAGGCTTTACTCTTACTTCTATGTATACTATCTAACTAGGAATTATGTGACAACTTTATATAGGACTTTTTTCACTTGTCCAATTTGCAGGACACATGTTTAATTTGTAAGATAAGTTTACTACATGTGCACCATGTAGCCAACTTGTACCACAAGTCACCAACATGTGTAACATGTGGCAACTTATTGGCTAAATTATTAAACTACCAATCACCTGCAAACACATATAAAGTCAAATCCACAATATTTAAAGCTTCTAAGAAGTTTTTTCATAAGATAATATTAAATCTACTTACTTCTACCTACTTCTATTTAACTTCTTTAATCTAAGTAAATATATATATATATATATATATATATATATTCATGATATATATTTCATCTTTTATTCAACTAGCATTGAAATTGGTTGTATTTAATATATAATATAATAAAATAAAATAATCTTGAAAAATAATCTTAGTAAAAATATCAACAATTTGGTTTTATGTCAAAATATAAATAAAATTAATCTCTTATTTTTCCTAGAATTTGAAGATAAAGATATATTATATATTTATATATTTTATTTCTTTATAAAAAATAAGATTTTTAAAAAAAGCTATCATTCTTTGATTGTTGTATGAAATTATTATTGGTGGAGATTGAGATATTGAAATATTATATGAGAGACAAGGTAATTAGATAGCTTCTTTTGATAACTTGGCCATAGCTAAAAATTTAGTAATAGTAGTAAAGTTTGCATTGCATAGCTATTGTTAACTATTCTATGATGTGACTCTATCAACTAAGAGAAAAAAATATCTATTGCAGCTCTTGCAATTATTAAGATTACTTGCAAAATTGGGATCAAAGAAGCCTTGTAGATAAAGGTCATTTTTTTTTTCTGAAATTGAATATCAAATATTATTGTACCTATAAAACATCAAATAAATTGTTTAAATGCATTCTAATAGGAATGTATTAGATGTTAGGAATGTATTAGATGATATCAATTTTCTTGCTAAAAAAATGCAATGTCTAAACAAATGAAATCCATTGCATTCATTTGACATCCTATACTTTGAATGTATGGTTTGTTGGTTAACAAATTACCTTCTAAATTAGCAAAAATTAGAATTTTAGTTTTAAGAGAAGTAAAGATAGAATTGCAATTAAGCATATTAAAGTAGTTGAAGATTGTCGTGATGTACTGATGTCAATGTAGGAAGATTAAATAATTTGGTGGATATTGTTGGCTTTGAAAAATTTACAAAATAATCAAGGATATTGATTTTAATTTTAAAAATTACTTAAAAGTAATATAAAATTTAATAATTAAAATATCATTTGAATAAAAAAATCATTTTTTCATTAATGTAAATACCAAAGATTATATGTAATGTTGTATTATAGCTGATATAATCACAAAGATAAGAAATAGAAAAAAAAAGATTAAACTACTTAAAATTTAGTAAATTTTATTTTGAACTATTAGCAAATACTTTGTTTGAAACTATAGTTGTTTTTAAAAAGACAAAAAATATAAAAGATGTAGGTGTTGGTTGTTCAAACCTTTGTGGTTGGTACATATAAGTTTTTTTTTATGTAAAACTTTATTAAATTGCTAGAATTTAATATCATTAATAGCAGAAACAACAAGGAGTACATTAATACAGTAGTATTTTATAATCAAGTTGAACATTTTATTATAATTTATACCTTACTTTGGAGTAAAACCTTTGGTTATAAGGTAGACTATATATTTTTTAAGTTCATCATAAACATCATATTTGATTTTATAAACCTATATAAAATAGATAGCCTTTTGATAAGGTATAAGAGTTTGTAAGTTGTAGATATGATTTTCAATCAAAGATTAATATTTGACTTGTATTGCTTGTGATTATTTGGAAATTTTAGTAGAGATAAGAGTCATTTTATATGTTTGTGGTTTGAAGAAGGATTCATTAATGCTTGCAAAAAAAAACCAATAAATTTTAGATAAAGATGAAAAAAAATATATGTCTTAGATGAGGATGTGGTACAAAGAGTAGTATTTAAAATATTGGACATCGAGTAATATCTTTGATATTGAAGCAAAACCAAAAAATATTAAGTTGGGTCATCATAAGAGGTAAAAATAATACTTGATAAAGAAGTAATAGCTTCCATTGCTCCAAAAGCTTGTACAAGTTGGATT